GACAACCTTTGTTCCGAGCAGGGAAATTAGATCTAACAAAAATGATCCCAAATGGTTGAACAATAGATTAAAACATCTCATTGGTCAAGAGAGAGGCATATACAGGCGTGTCAAAAGGTAGCAAAGGTATTCGAAGACTAACCCAAAAGGATTGTTTCAGGTATACAGAAGTAAGATTAGGGACAAGATAGGCCCACTTAAGAGTAACTCTTGTCAGATCGCTGACAGTGATAAGGAAATGTGTTAAATTTTCAATACTTACTTCCTCTCAGTTTTTACCCAGGAAAATAATAGCGAAATTCCTGAAATAATAGATTATGTAGAACAGGACGATAATAAACAATGTACGATTTGCAGTAACTAGTGACATGGTCCTCAGACAAATAGAGAAATTAAAACCTAACAAATCCCCAGGCCCTGATGAGCTGTTTGCAAGGGTGTTGAAGGAATGTAAAGAGGAACTTAGCATACCTTTGGCAAATCTTTTCAACATATCACTGCAATCTGGCATAGTGCCTGATAAGTGGAAAATGGCAAATGTAATACCTATTTACAAGGCAGGTGACAGGCCCTTGGCTTCGAACTATAGACCAATAAGCCTTACCTCCATAGTGGGAAAAATTTATGGAATTTTTTAATTGCCAAGAAATTTCGTTACCATTTTGATAGGCATAAATTGATTAATGAATCTCAACACGGTTTTACAAAGGGGCGTTCCTGTCTTACGAATTTACTAACTTTTTCACTAAGGTGTTTGAGGAGGTAGATCATTGAAATGAATATGATATTGTGTATATGGACTTCAGTAAGGCTTTCGATTGAGTTCCACATCAGAGGCTACTGAGGAAACTTAAGGCACACGGAATAGGAGGAGAAATTTTTTCCTGGGTAGAGGCATGGCTGACAAATAGGCAGCAGAGAGTTTGCGTAAATGGGGAGAAATCAGAAAGGCGGCACGTCACAAGTGGTGTTCTGCAGGTGTCAGTGTTGGGCCGGTTGTTGTTCACAATTTACATAAACTACACAGATGAGGGAATAAATAGTGACATAAGCAAATTTGCTGATGACACCAAAATAGGCCGTCCAATTCATTCTAATGAGGACACTAGAGCACTCCAGAATTGTTTGAATAGACTGTTGCAAGGTCGGAGAAGTGGCAGATGTAGTTTAATATAGATAAATGCAAAGTTCTAAATGTTGGACAGGAAAATAACCATGTCACATATAAACTAAATAATATAGATCTTAATACTACTGATTGCGAAAAGGATTTAGGAGTTCTAGTTAGCAGTAATCTTAAACCAAGACAACAGTGCATTAGTGTTCGCAATAAATCTAACAGAATCCTTGGTTTCATATCTAGAAGTATAAATAATAGAAGTCCTCAGGTTGTTCTTCAACTCTATATATCCTTGGTTAGGCCTCATTTAGATGATGCTGCACAGTTCTGGTCACCGTATTACAGAATGGATATAAATACACTGGAAAACGTACAGAGGAGGATGACAAAGTTGATCCCATGTATCAGAAATCTTCTCTATGAGGATAGACTGAGGGCCCTGAATCTGCACTCTCTCGAAAGGCGTAAATTAGGGAGGATATGGTTGAGGTGTGTAAATGGAAAACATGATTAAATGAATGGGATGTAAATAGTGTGCTGAAAATTTCCGGACAACACAGGACTCGTAGCAATGGTTTCAAGTTGGAAAAATTCAGATTCAGGAAGGATATATAGGAAAGCACTGGTTTGGTAGTAGAGTTTTGGATGAGTGGAACAAACTCCACAGTACAGTTATAGAGGCTAAAACGTTGTGTAGTTTTAAAAATAGGTTAGATAAATACATGAGTGGGTGTGGGTGGGTGTGAGTTGGACCTGACTAGCTTGTGCTACTAGGTCTGATGCCGTGCTCCTTCCTTAAGTGGAAGTGACCTGACTAGGTGGGTCATCGGGCTAATCTGGGGGTGACATGACCTGCTTTGCATGGGTCAGAAGGCCTGCTGCAGCGTTCCTTCTTTCTTGTGTTCTTATGTTGTTATGTTTGACCTAATTTCCCTACTCAGGACAAAAATCGTCTGTGCAGCTAGAACTATGCTCTGAAATATGTCATACTGGCAACCAATCCTACCTACCAGACCCATAGTAAGGTCATTCCAATTTAGCCCACCCAGGTAATTTTTCAGTCCCATGAAGTCTACCAAGGGGAAATCTGGGACAGCGACTTGATTGCAGTTATCTTGGTAATTCCAAGATATATTGAAACTAAGTGATTTGTGATCGCTTTCCTCTAGCTCATCATTAACCTCAAGATTACTAACTAGTGATTCTTTGTTGGCAAGAACCAAGTCAAGCAGGTTGTTTCCTCTAGTTGTTTTAAAAAGCAATCCTGAACCGTATCAAGAAAATCACTTGACTCAAGATTGCCTGTCATATTGTTCCAATTAATTTGTCTAAAGTTAAAATCTCCCATTAGCACAACATTTTCATATCTAGATGCCTTATAAATTTCGTCGCATTGCAGCTTACTGCACTCCCTATCAAAGTTTGGGGCCTATAAATTACACCCAAAATTAATTTTTCACGATCTTCGAGAAACTGAAGCCAAACAGATTCTGTGTCAAATGTTTCTAATCTTACATCTTGTCTAACACAAACAATTTAAATTATCTTTGACATACATCGCCACCCCACCACCCTTCCTGTTGACCCTATCAATATGGAACAGTTTATAACCCTGTATGCTGCATTCAGAAGGCATTTATCTATCTTTCAAGTTGATCCAGGTCTCTGTTATAGCAATATCATCTATATTATTTGCACTTTCAAGTAATCTTAGCTCATCTATCTTATTTCTTATACTCCTTCTATTTGTATAGTAAACCTTAAGGGAGCTAATCACTCGTTGCCCTCTACTATCTCCTTTTGTTTGTCGAGCAATTGTTTTGTTTTTACTAGCAACTGTATTTCGAAAATTGTCTTTTAAACATATCACTGGGGTATCCTGGTAATATCCGTTGTTTTCAGTCATAATGCTGCAGCCTGACTGTTTCCCACAAACACCCATACCTCTATAGTCTATCAGTTTAAATTCCAAGATCAAGCCGCTGCTGATATGTCATTCAGACAACCCCAGAGCCTATAAGTCGCATAAGATTCTGAAAGAAAAACTGGACGTTATGTGGAGGGAAAACCCGAAGGCATGGGTCACCAGGCAGTTCTTTGTGGGGTGGGTAAACCTGGTCTTTGGTCCTGCCCATAAGAAGTATCTCCAGGATAATAACCTACCCCTGCAAGCCCTTCTCGTCCTGAACAGTGCACCTGCTCACCCACTGAGCATCGCAGAGGACATAATCGAAGAGTTCAAGTATAGAAAGGCTCTCTATCTTCCACCCAACAACACCCCTATTCTGCAGCCCATGGACCAGCAGGTGATTTCTAATTTTAAGAAGCTCTTCATCAAGCACCTGTTCCGCCGCTGCTTTGACGTGACAAAGCACAAACTTGTCCCTTCAAGAGTTCTGGAAGGACTCCTATAACATCGTGGTATGCCTCAGAATTACAAATGTGGCCTGGCAGGGTGTTACAAGGAGGACCTTGACCTCTGCATGGAAGAAGCTGTGGCCTGAGATTGTGTCCGACAAGGACTTTGAAGGATTCAAACCTGAAGCGTCAGTGTTGGAGGAGATTATGTCCCTTGGAAAGGTCATGGGCATGGAGGTGGATGAAGATATGAACGATCTCATCGAGAAGCACTCCGAAGAGTTGACGATGAAGGAGTTAGATGAACTACATAAGCAGCAGCATCAAGAGGTTTTGCAGGACATTCGTGCTATGGAGGCGCAAGATGCAGAGGAGTTTATCTTTACAGGTGAGATAAAGGGAATGCTGGGTATCCGGGAGGCATTATCAGACTTTACTGAAAGGAAACACCCAGAGAAAGCTTCAAGTGGTCGTGCACTGGAGCTATTTAATGACACTTGCATAACTCATTTCTGAAGCATTCTGAAAGGGAGGAAGAAACGAACCTCCTTGGACAGTTTTTTATTGAAATGCCCTGCAGTGTAAAAAGTGGAGAAAAATCCAAAAATCAGAGAACAGTAAAGTGACATAAAAATAACAATTGTAGGAGTTAAGTTCTGTGACAAAGTGAAGAATTAAGACTGTAGCAATTAAGAATAGCATTGAGAGTGTATCAATTAAGCAATTACGCGATAGAAAAAGGACGAAACGAAATGAACTCCTGACAGTATACACCACTGTGCCCAGCATCTCTTCTCCATCAACCTCTGCCAGCATCTCCTCTCCGCCATCATCCACCAATATTTCTTCTCCAAGGTAAATGCTGTAGTACATACTACATAATTTCTTTACATTGTTTTCCTTATGATGCTACGTAGTGATCTAATGCAGTCTGCCTCATAAGCACTCTGCTTTCTGTTACAATAAAAGCATGGGAAGGTATGTAGCCAGGAGCAGGAATGGCCACTGTGGTGGCCCTATAGACCCCAATGGCAACAATGGCTGCTGTGCCGCCACCACCAGCAGCCACATACGTAATGACGTAGTATTTTATTCATTCTAGTGTATACATCATGTTTCTATGTTTATTATGTCATATTAGATGAATTGTGATAGATAAATAAGTAGAGTTGATATTAGTGAAATACTGAAGTATTTTGTCGTGCCTGGAATTCCGCTGGAACAGATTAGTACCATTTCAATTAATTTAAATGAGGAAAATTGACTCAACATACGAGCAAATTGAGATACGAGTAAGGTCGTGGAATGGATTAAGCTCCTAAGCTGAGGTTCCACTGTAACTTGGGAGCGTGTGAAGATTTTATCCCAAGGAGCTAATACGAAGGGGCCTGTGTTCTCTTTGACTTAAGAAGGATAAGTGTGATGAGGCTAAAAATAAAAACAGTTGTTTCGTCTTTGTGTTTGTGATTTAGATTAATGAATGTCTGTCGTTGTAGGAGCGTGGTCCTCCATAGGTCAGTACCTGTGTGGAGGAGGGCGAAGGTTGCCACCCCCAGTAGGAAGGTCTTGGTGAGGACTCCGGTCATGGCTGCGGCAGGACACACTCTGACCAGGAAGACCACACGCCCACCACTGATATACTCAACCCACCTACCCACCACTGATATACCCCACCTGTGTTCCCAACACCCACCCATGTAACCGACCCATCTTCCATCCAACTCCCCTACTTTCCTCAACCCGTGTATCTTATCACCTCCAACATGAGTTATCTACATACCTTCCCACCACCCCCCTCTCTCCCAGCGACAACCCACCCATCCGCGACATCATCCACCTCTCCGTCCCAGAAGAGAAATCACCCATTTATTGTCAGCTGGACTGGAGTTAGTGACGTCAAGATAAGTACAAGTTCTTTCGTCTTTTATGCACGAGATTTGACGTCAAGTGAAGTAAAATTAGCTTTACCATCTTTGTGAAGTGAGAACTTTGATACAAGTTTTTGGTAGGGACCAGCAGCTCGTGCAGTTAACGTTGCATTGTTATAATTATTATAATCATGGGGAGAGCTAAACCCGTAGGGATTATACCGTGCCTGTGGGGGGATGGAAGGTATTCAGGCTCATTTCAGGGAACGGGAGCACATATTCAATTCCCTAGATCAAGAGCCCCTCACCAGCATCAAGGAACCTTCCTCGAGGGGTAACATTGCATACCAAAAATATCTGGGTCCTAACATGTACTAGAAAGAAGGGACTTCGGGTAGATGGAAGAGACGTATAGTAGTTGAAATGGATTTATAGTAAATGGAAAGGACTTATGATATGTTGTGTAAAGGCAGGATGGTGAGGAATCTCTTGCAGGACATATGAGCAACAACACCAGGTGCCAGAGTACAGAGGCAGGAGGACGGTGAACTGATTTCCCACTGAAGGTCATAATGTTTACATCTTCACTTGTGGGTACCAACCTTCGTAACACCTGACGGCAACACTCCACACGCTCTTTCTTAGCGTGAAAAATGCGAGTTGATATTTTTATATAAAAAACTAATCTGAGTTACAGCCTGTGGACTTCTCACGCCAAACAGAAATTAGACTTCTCATATCTAAAAAATTTAAGACTGAGCAAAGATGGGAAACAGTGAAGCCAGCAAAGAAAAAGATAAATAGATATGACAAAAGGAGTTCAGTGGGTAGCCGTCCACCTACTACTGCTAACCTCATATCCTTCCCATAGGCTTCCTCCTGAAAGGATCATTCTGCTTATAATAATAAATTACTGTAGATATTGTCGCAGTTGACGAAGCGAGCGCTGATGACAAAAGGACAGCATCAACAATGTGTCCATCTTATCCCTGTGGTGAGGTATGAGAGTTATTGCCTAGGGTGAGGGAAAGGGAAGTGCCACTCCCCTACAGAGTTCTTTCCTTACTAATAATCCAGCAACTTTACGGACATAAATGGTCGGGATATTTTCCCAATGACACAGAACGAATTATGAAAATGAAGCGTAGAACGCAAACAATTTACTTTAAAAAGTTTTGCTTTGCTTTGTGATTGATTTCAGTAATATGATGTTGAAGTGGTGATGACAGTAGGAAGTTGATACTGACAGTGCAAATTTGATAATGCCAGGCTAGGTATGTGTTTAGAGCGCCGTGTAACTCAACGATTCTGGAATACCTAGTTTGGTATTCAAGCACCAAGTAGCCTTGATTGCGTGGGTTGCTACTAGAGCACAAGACTGTCCTTTACTACCTGACTTGGCACCCGAACACCAGGCTGTCCTAGAATGCTTGGCTAGGTACTTCACCACCAGGCTGTCCTGGAATGCTTGGCTAGATAATTCACCATCAGGCTGTCCTGGAATGCTTGGCTAGGTACTTAACCACCAGGCTGTCCTGAAATGCTTGGCTAGGTACTTCACCACCAGGCTGTCCTGAAATGCTTGGCTAGATAATTCCCCATCAGGCTGTCCTGGAATGCTTGGCTAGGTACTTTACCACCAGACTGCCCTGGATGCCTGGTTTAGTGCCTTAGTACCAAGTTGCACTTGAAAGTCAATATCGGTATTTGAACAGATTTCGAGCCCTAAGTCCACCTTTTTGTTTATTCATTAACAGTCGTTAATTACGACTTATACTTGCTTGTGTGCGGTGGAACCAGCAAGTCGTGCTGGTTGCCACCACGATACCATACTCTGAAAACGTACCCTATTTCTCCTGTGCTTGCCCTTGCAACATGGCACAGCTCCTGATGATGCAATGAAAAGTGTGAAAGTACTTGAGCTAAAGATTTCCGCATCCCGTGGCTAGTCTTGCATTGTTAAGATAGCCTGTCTGCGATTGTTTTATATGTCATATAATTATTACAACAAAGGTAAGCATAAGTAACAGCAAAAATATAATCACTCAATTAATTGGGTTAATGAGAGATTTGAGGAAGTGGGCGTGTGGGAGAGGAATTCCATTTTGGTCCATTATTAGATATGAGGTTCTTAGGGTATATCAGTGGTTGTGGTGGGAAAATAGATGGGTGCTAGGAAGGTAGGTGGGTTATGGGAGGGTGTGTGGGGTATATCAGTTGTGGATGGTCGGTAGGTGGGTTGAGTATATCAGTGGTGGGTGTGTGGTCTCCCTAGCCACAGTGTGTCCTGCCACAGCCATGACCGGAGTCCTCACCAAGACCCTACTGCTGGGAGTGGCAACCCTCGCCCTCCTCCACACAGGTACTGACTTACAGAGGACCACACTGCTGCTGCTTGTGGCTCACATAGAAGCTTCATACTCTATTGAGAAAAGTCTGGTTGCTAGAACAGTGCATCTGTCATGCACCTGAAGAACGGAGGATCAAGCCTCCAATTTAAACCACATTAACCCGATATTCCCAAATCCATATAAATAGGATTCATATCAGTCTCTTATTCTGTGAAAAGCATTCTAATACTAAAATCTCTCCTAAATAATATTTGTTATCATAAGATGAATTCCTTTTGGAAGAGATTGGGGAAAGAAAGCAGTTTATCTCAGTACAGCTGCACAGCAGAAATATTACACGATATGTATCCAGGTTAATTTCTAATTCACAAATTAGGTTTCATCAAGATTCTTTGAGGTTATAAACTTTCCATCATTCTGTGAGCTTAGAAAAGAATTTCCAGAGATTTTCTTTCAATCACTGAAAGATAACGGTAGTAATTTCTTTAAACTGTTTCGTCTAAAAATGATTTGAAAAATGCTTACAGTGACGTACGTGTTTTTTGCGAATTAATGGGTCCTTCAGAGAGTGCATATATTGCGCACAGTGTCTCTGCTCTGAAACGGTTTAAAAAAAAAAAAAGATCCAGAAATTCTCAGAGTCAAATAATGTTGCAAATCTTTTCCTTCTTGTCAGTTTAAAAAAGAATTTAATTCAAAATAACTGATCATTTGCTTAAAATCAAAAAACGAATTCCATTGAACTATGAATCAGCAGGGAGACTGAGCTCTTCCATCTACACATCGGCCACATGCGCCTCACTCACGGATACCTCACAGACATACTCCTGGTACCCCGGTGCCGTCCCACGATGAATGTCGGGTTGCTTTGTCATCTCCCCATATCTTAATACGAGGATTCACTTCCAACATCTCTGACTTCCTCACTGAAAGTCCCACATTTGACGTAGACTCTCTCTCTCTTGGACTTTTTAGCAGAAACTAACTCATTGCCCTAATTGTGATGTAGATTTTCCTCTTACTCTCCCCTGCCCCCACTTACCCCAACCCATGCACACCCCTACCTCACACTCCCTCCTGTCCTTCATACATCCCTTCCTGAAGAGCTGTATGATCCATTCGGGTTTAGTGCTTAACTTGATTACATTATTATTATGATGATAATTATTATTGTCACGGATCAACAAAAACTAATATTTATTAATATTTATACTAAAATTTGAACAAAAATCTTAAAAGAGCCATTTGTTCATTTTAGTTAATTCTTGATGCTATGCCGCTGGACGGTCCAGTTTATTCTTAAGTCACTGAACTGAGCCGGAAACTTGTCACATCTACAAAATATTTGCGCAGAATCCTATCTTATTTAGTTTTCGTTATTTTTTCTTTCACTTTCAGTTGAGGAAAACATTTTACAAGGCCTTAAAAAATTATATTAAAATATCATATGTACCGATGCCAATCAATAAAGAGTGAGGTGCTCATTACACCTCCTGTGAGATGTAAGACAACATTGCTGCTCATGACAAGCGTGTTGGTCATAACCACAATATGGTCACAGTGGTGCCTATGCTAACCTTCCTATGGTGTACAAATATACCTAGTTGGACGAATCTTATTGCAGCCAGCTGGCCCAGTGGCTAGCGCGTCAGTCTGGAGTTTTGTGACTCTGATCGCGGGTTCCATCCCCTCCCGTGGTATGGGCGGAGATGGAAAACCAGTACAGAAATTTTATCACATTAAAACACGTTTCAACCGATATTTGACTGAAATCTTGAACAACAGCTAAGATTATTTCCTTAGTGTTTAATTAGGCGTCGTAAACAAAAACGACAGGCTTTCATGTATGTATGAATGTTATCCCGAAAGCCAGCCGTGTTTGCCCACAACCCACAACTGAAGACTCTAGAGGAAATGCTCTTTTTCGTCTTCAGTGAGATCAAAGGGAAAACTGTTTTTTGTCACCCTCTTTACTTTCCAAAATGGAAGACATATATTATATATATATATATATATATATATTATATTATATATATATTATATATATATATATTATATATATATATATATTATATATATATGGTATGGCAGGTATGGAGTAGGAGAATTGTAATTGTCCTCATTGTTATGTTCACCCATTCATTGTTCTCACGGTTATGTTGACCCACATTCCCAGTTCCTGTTCTCATTATAATGTTCACTCACAATCACTGCCCTCACCATTGAATTGACCCAGAATCACTGTTTTCAACTCCGCGTTGGCCCCCAGTGAAAGGTGCCGAGGAAGACAGGTGTGCCTGCATCACCTTAAAGAATGAGTGGGACGGCAACTATGATGCTGATTTCACAGCCTCTACTCTGGATCCCTTCCACTCGTATGAGATCATCCTCACCTTCGACCAACCCGTCGACTCACTCGACGTAAGTAGAGGTGACTATATGTACATATAAAACATACAAA